CTTTCAGGTTTGCTGTGGTTACTTGGCCAGTGTTGATTTCATACCTTGAGCTTGTTATGTCTGGATGGTGTAACCCCTATTTGTCTGAAGTCCCTGCTTTAGTGTGGCCCTCCCTCACCCTCTGGTGCCCCCACTGCCCTCCGTATGCTGGTCTGCTCCCCTGTGGCTCTGTTTCGTCTTGGCCTCATGGGTGTGTCTCACAGTCACTGTTGAGTAAGCATGGTGGATGTGTAGGTCTTTGGTCGAGGTGCTTAGCTTCGTGTTTGCAGTGTGGACACCCTTTGTCCATATGCTGTTAGTCCCGGGGGACCTGTGACTCTTGCTGGTGTACCCTGGGGTCTGGGTGGGTCTGGTGTGTGCAGGTGCTGCTGTGTTCTGCAGGTTCCTGGGTAGCCTTGGTCTGTCCAGGTTCTTTCCTGTGATTTGGAGTTACTCTGTACTCCTGTCTTGAACCTTCTTGGGAAGCTGGGTGTCACTGGGTAGGCCCACCCTTGGAAAGGACGAGGTTCTTCTCTGGCTTGCCTGCCACCCAGGGTTGAGACTCTGCATCCCTGGAGTGCATTTTCCTTGGTTCAGGTGTGGTGTGGCCTTGCCCTGTACCTGTGTGACTGTGTGTCCCCAGTGGGTGAGGGCTGTAGTCCCTGCTGCTTGATTTTGTGCTGTGGCTGTGGAGCTGGCACTGTCTCCTGTCCTTGTCGGGCTAGGGTGCCGATCTGTCTGGTTCTTCCAAAGAATTTTGTTTTCTCCGCTTTTGAGCGTAGGAGTAAATTTTAAAACTTGATTTGGCTTATAAAATGATTAGCCAAGGGGTGTATGTACTTTTTTATATTTGCAGATTGATTTGAGTAAGTCACATCTTCCTTCCTGCAGCCTTGGTTTACATTTGAATTCTTCTGTTTTTTGGCTTAAAGGTGATCGTACGAGTCATTTTAAGTGGAGCTCTGCTCTGTTTTGTTCTCCCCACTCCGTGCTTTGCTTTGGCTTTCTAACATTTTCTAGTCTTTTTCCTAAGGACAGCATTCTGGTTTTGTTGCAGCTTCCTTAGATGTTTCTTTGGAGCTGGGGATGGAACCCAAGCCTTGTGTCTGCTAGGCGTGTGCTCACCCCGTGCACCCCCAATCTGCATGGACCTCAGTGTCTCAGCCCAGACATCCTGCCAGGTCTTAGCTGCCATGGCTGCGTTCACAGCTTCCTGCCGGCTTGGGTCTCCGTGGTACCAGCTGCCCTGTGGGAGAGTCATGCAGGTCCGTTCTGGCCTGAGCTTGTTGAAGTGTCCCTCATCCGCCTCTTTCCAGGCAGCATCCCCTCTGTGACACCCAGCAAGGGCCTGAGGCTGGCACACTGGAGACGCCTCTTGCTTGCTGGCGCTCCTCGCTGTTTGGGACCCCTGTGGAAGCAGGCATTGTGGCTGATGTGAGCAGACATCCTTCAGGATGTTTTCTGGTGTCTCAGTCCAGCCTTTTAGGACCTGTTTGTTGCATCCATGTTTTGCCTAGTTCTGACAGTTGGAGTCTGTTCTTTATTGTGCTCCTGTCCAGGTTGAGGCGGGGCTCCACTTCAGTCCCTTCCACTCCTGTCTTACCTCGAGTTCATCAGCCAGCTCCTGCTTGCATGAGCCCTAAGGGTAAGCTGACAGGAGTTCAGCAGACTGTTGGGTTGCAGTTGGCTTGGCTCCTCTCCTCTCCTCTCCTCTCCTCTCCTCTCCTCTCCTCTCCTCTCCTCTCCTCTCCCCTCCCCTCCTCTCCTCTCCTCTCCTCTCCTCTCCCCTCCCCTCCCCTCCCCTCCCCTCCCCTCCCCTCCCCTCCCCTCCCTTCCCCTCCCCTCCCCTCCCCTCCCTTCCCCTCCCCTCCCCTCTCCTCTCCTCTCTCCTGCACTCTACTGTACTCTACTCTCTTTCCCCCTGTGGTCCTGGGATTAGACCTGAGGCTTCCGGCATGCTGGGCAGGTGCTCTGCCACTGAGCTGCTTCCCCAGCTGGACTCCAGTATTCTTTACCCCAAGGTCTTCGAGGTGACATGCACATCACTTGTGAGGGTGACAGTGGATTGAAGTGGGCTGGCTCTTGACTGAGCACTGCCCCCTAAGGCCTGGGCATACTCTACCCTGGCCACCCTGTCAACTGGTCCCAGCATGAGTCTCCATGAAGGTATACCGGGAGTTCGGTTGGAGCACTGAAGTTTCCTCCACACCCGCACAAACAGATGAGCCACCTGTGAATTATTAGCTGTGAGTGATTTTTTTGCAGGGTTGTGCCCCTGAATGGGGTGGGCTTTAAGGAGACAAGTAGCATTTTCGTGGATGAAGGGAGAGGGAGTCACCTTCCATCTTCATAGATGTGAGCGCTGGAAACTTTGATCATGTCTAGAAGAACTAGATTGTATGAAAGCTGTTTCACTAAAGGAGTGCAGTCACAATTTTTAACTCCTTTGCAAAGTAATACTGGAAATCACAAACTGACCTCCACTTAAGTCCTAGAGTTTTTCTGGGAGCTGAAAGTGGGTGGCTTGTCTACAGAAAGTGGGAATAACCTACTTCTCAAGTCACCTGCTGCAGGCCTGTCTGTGTCCACTGTGGACAAATCCCTGGACATTGTGCTGGCAAGATTGTCTGTACTCCACGCTGGGAGGCTCTGGGTTTGCTTCCTAGTTGTATTTAGAAAGACTTGGAAAAATCTTAAATATGCTTCTTAAAAAACCCTTGTGCTTATTAGCACATTTCTGCAGTACGTAGTGACTACATTCATTTATATTTTTAGAATAGAATACAGAGCCTGGTGTGATGGCACTGTCTGCAATCCCAGCACTCTGAGACTGAGGCAGGACAATCATTACAAGTTAAGACCAGCCTGGGCTACAAAGTGAGCTCAAGGCCAGCCTGAACTGTGTAGGGAGACTCTGTCTCAAAAGGACAAAAAAGAATAAAAACCTCAATACAGAATCACATTCATGAGTCAGCTCTATGGATTAACAAATGACTCCGAACCCCCTTGTAACTGCCATCCATGTCAGAAGTCACAGCTCCTTCCCTCTCTTAGGACCAGCTGCTGTCCTGACCTGTGTGTGACTCGCTTAACCCTTTTCACTGAATACCTCAGCTCTCTGCCTTTCATGCTATACCTGTAGGAGTCAATTTTCAGTTACTGTAACAAAATAACCAAAGCTGGGCACTTTTTAAAGTAAAGGAGGTGTGTTTCGCTCAGGTCCAGGTTTGGGCAGCCCTGCCGATTTGTGCTCTGGTGGGGTCACATGGCAGCAAGTGGCTAGTGGCCAGGAGGTCCAGAGCCAGGCAAGAAGCCACCAGGAGAGGCTGTCCCTTCAGCCTGCACTAGCAGTAGCTCTTTAAGTCCAGGCCCTCTGCTTGTGTGAGTGTCGGGTGTGCTGCCTGCAGGACTTCCTTGGAAGGCTTCTGCCTGCGTGGTGGAGGGGAAGTGCTCCTTCAGGGTCCAGCGCAGCCGGCCCTGGCTGAGTTGTGTGCCTGTGCATCTGTGCTGTGGGGTGGCTTGTTCTGCTCTGCACTTGGCAGGTGGCTCTCGAGCCCAGTGCTCTGTGGGTGGGTGTGGAGGGTGGAGGTGAGGGTGGTTGGACCCCCTCGGGCGAGGCACACTGGAGGTAGCCATCGCCCAGCTCCTTCTTGGATGCTGGTCCCCTGCAGGCAGAGCCAGCACCTGACTGGCGCATGGACAGACACCTTTGGGTGCACTGAAAGTGTGTTCTTACTGGAAGCTCGTGACGCATGGTCTGCACCTGTGCACGTTTCCAGAAACCCTGATGTTGGAGAAAGCGCCGGCTTGTTCTATGTAGGAGTCAGAATCCTTATTTATAAAGCAAGTTGCCAACCAGGATTTTTCCCGGCCTTCAAATTGCTAAAAGATTCTTGTGTCTGTATTGCTTCATCTCATCCATGAAACGATCGGAGGTATTGTGTTAAAGTAATATGTAATGTTAAAAATCTTCCTGAGCTGTGTGTATGTGTGTGTGTGTGTTGATGTTGTTGCTTGCAAACAGGTTATCCCTTTGGCAAAGGAGAGAGGCAAAGGCCACCCCAAAGGTGTGACTGGGGCCGGCCCCGCCCCTACCTAAGACTCTGGGAGTCTTGTGCTCCCTGTGGTATGAGTACAGGTGACCTTACCCTCTGCTGGGCCTGTCCTCCTCCCACCGTGTTCTCTGTGAAGGGCTGGGGCTACCTCGAGCTTACAGATCAGATGCTCACGGCACAGGTGCTGGGCTGCTGATCTCAGCCGGAAGTGACCTTGGGGCCTGCAGCAGGCCTAGGAGAAAGCCAGACATGACACGTTTGTTCCTCGAGTCTGTAAAATTTCTGATTTGTGTTCTTTTAAAAATGTAAAAATGATATCCAAAGAATTTGGTGTTTGGTGTACAGTGAGGAACACCTTGTTGCATTTTGTATTTCATTCTGTTAAAGTTACAGTTTGGATTGAATTGTGTTGCTTTTTAGTCTCCTTGTGTGGAAGCCAATGGGCCATTTCTGTTCCAGTTGGAAGGGTAATAAGGGGTGGAGAGCAGCTGCCAGCCTTTCATGTATCCTGTCCATACAGCCAGGGGCTTTTACCTCTTTGCATCTCATACGCCTAGGGGACCGGAGTTTCTCCGAAGTCCGGAGAGCCCTTAGTCACTTACGAGCACAGACCCGTCAGCCCAGGGCAGCTGCCACCCTTCTGGCCAGGTGCCTGTGGGTCTGGGCTGTGTGGGGCGAGGCAGCGCATGGAGAAGCAGGGTGTTTAAGGCTTTGCTCTGTGTCTTTTCAGGTGTTTAGCTGTAAACACATGGGTCACAGCTGTGTGAACCCTCCAGCTAGCTGGAGCTTGTGGGCTTTGTCTTTGCAGCACCAAGGGTGGTGGAATCCTACCCGCTGGCTCAGGGAGAAAAGTGAAGTGTGAACACGTGGTTTTGTGATGAGTAACACTGTCATTTCCAGTTTCCTTGATGAGTGTGTTTTAATGTGCTGGCTCCAAGCTAAACTCTGAGTTTTTCCATGTTTTAGATTAAATAGGATTGCGAATCAGGTGGCCATTCAACGGAAGAAGCAGTTTGTGGAGCGGGCGCACAGCTACTGGTTACTCAAGAGGCTGTCCAGGAACGGTGCACCCTTGCTGCGGCGCCTACAGTCCAGCCTGCAGTCCCAGCGGAGCACGCAGCAGGTAGGTGTGCGCTCCGGGAGGGAGGGAGGGAGGGAGGCCCCTGGCTGCGGCACCGAGGGCTGGGCAGGCGACCCGTGTCCTGGCTTGGGGCCTCCAGCATCGGTCGTTCTACAGAGCTCTGCCGTCTGGAGCATTTGCCCTGTATCTAGTGGCTTTGCCAGCTCTGGTGACAGAGGGTCAGGCCAGGGGAGTGCAGAGGGATGCGGGGTGGGGCCAGAGGGGAGGGCTGCTGCTCTGAAGGCTGGTTCCACCCACTGCAGGGAGGTTGGGGCTGTGGGGCCCGAGGGAGCAGACTTTCCGTCCCTAAGGGAAAGTTCCCTCGGGGAACAAACCCAGACAGACCCAGCAATTAGCAATTAGTTTGGGTTCTTGGAACCACCTGATAAAACAGTCCTGTGAGGATGGATGTAGTAAAGAATTGACTTCTGTGAGCTGTCACAAATATAACTTGAAAACAAAAATGGGTGTTTTTGCATGTTGTCCAAAACATCCATGTCTGCAGCCTCTGCTCACTGCTCTGTAAGGAGAGGCAGCCAGGCCGCAGTCATGCTTGCTTGGGCTGGGACTCAGCCCAGCCTCTCGACTGTCAGGCGCACCCCGGGATCCCATCTGTGGGGGCCTGGAGTTGCAGGCGCCACCATTCTAGGTATGGATGGCTGTGGATGGTGCTGAGGGCCAGCCCTGCAGTTGAGGTCTGCTCCTGTCCAGGAAGGCTGTTGGATGGGACCTGCCCACAGGCAGTGTGGTGCCTGCCAGCCGTGGGGTGTGTGGGCCCCACTCATGCTGCTCCCAGGCGGCATCTGCGGCTGACCAAATGCCTCTGACCAGGTGTTTCTGCTTCCTCGGAGAGTCCACACCGCTGGGCCTGGAAGTGCCTGGCACAGAGCGCGAACTTGTAGGGATTGTTTTGGTGGGCATTAAGTTGGAGCAGCAGAGCCTGTGGGTGGGCACTGGCCAGATGTTTGCTTCCATGACGCTGGCGATTGGCGATGAGGGAAAGCCGTCGTGGTGGAGGAAGTGGAGTGTGAGACCTCATTTTACTTTACCCCTGGTGGAGGGGCGCTGGCTGTCCATGTGGCTGGGCAGCAGCCATCGTAGACCGCACAGGAGGGTGGGCACATGTCCTCTGGGGAGGCTGAGGTGAGAGGATTGAAAGATGGGGCTCAGCTTGGACAACTTAGTGAGATCCTATCTGAAGATAGAAAATAGAGAAAAAAGGGGTGGGGATGTAGTTCTGTGGTAGAGCCTTGCTGGATTCAATGTCCAGTGCCATCAAAAAAAAAAGAGCACAGCACTGATGTGGCCGTGGGGGGCTTCTACTTGGGGCTGGTGCTCTGCATGTGCAGGGGCACGGGTGGGGAGGCGCTGAGGGTCAGAGGAGGGTAGTGATTGACTCAGACGGAGATGCTGAGGGAGAGTTTTCCCCAGGAGAGCCTGGAGCCAGGCTTGTCCTCTGACCCTGGGATGGAGGGCTCCGGCCCGAGGGGAGGTGTGGAAGGAGCCATGCAGTTTGGTCCACTGTGCTGAGGCTGTTGGAGTCTCATGCCATATCTTCTCCTCTGCACTTGGGGGTTCGGGGAGACCTGGGGCCGAGGCAAGGGCTGTAGAAGCTGCTTGTGTCTGGTGGGCTGAGTGACCTGCTGGGCTGTCCTGGAGCAGGCAGGACGAGTGGTGCAGGTCCCACATTGCTCTCCTGTGTGGCCTTCGTGTTCTGGGGATATCGCGGACAGTGACGCTGCTCAGGGAACCTGGGGGGCTGGGTGTGTGTGTCTTAATTTGGCCCAGGGCCTCATGCTTTCAGACTAGAAATCCTTGGTGTTACAGGCGGGCCCTTCTCTCCAGTGGCTGATCTTTTAGGTGAGTGATGGATGAGATGCAGTGGGCCTCTCTCTGAAGTGGGGGCCCGAGGCACTGTGCTGTTTCCTGGCCTGTGCCGGGGGTGCCATGGCAGGAGGAATGGCCACTCAGCTCTGGCCAAGCTCAGTTGGCTGTCTGCACCCTCCTGCCTGTTCTCCTTAGTTCCCCCCTTCTGCGGATCCATCACCTCCCCTGGGGTCTCTGTCCGTCCTCCTCCTGCTGGGCCACCCGTCCTGGCAGTGGCTGTCTTCCACCTCATGTAGGTGGGTTGTGTGCTTGTGGCATTTGAGGCAGCCACGGCCAATGCTGCGCTTCCCCTTCTCAGAGGTTACCCAGTCCCGTGCTGCAGCGTTTCCAGCAGGAAGTGGACTGTGTGACCGCTGGCCATGCTGCACCGCTTCGGAGTTGGTGCTGCGTGGCCAGACTGTGCTTCTTCACTAAACAGATCCTGGGGAGGGGGGCTCGTGGGCAGTGGGGGATTTCTTGTCTCGTGGGTCACCAGGCCAAGTGTCTTCTGGCTGGTCCTCTCAGAAATCTGTCCAGCTAGTGGGCAGGTCGTTTCTGAAGCTCTGGGGAATCTGGCTTTCCAGATTCACCTTTTAGATGTTACCAGCTTTGGGAGCACTGTTGTTTCTGATGTGGTGTCTGAGAGTTGAGTACCATTAAGGTCTCCCTGCGGTTGGTGAGCACAAGAGTGGCTGGCTGGGGTGTAGGGCTGGTTTCCTTGGCTGGGTCAGTTCCAGAGATTCTTGGCTCTCAGACGCCACTGCCGGCTTAGGCCAGCTGGCGGCCCAGGCCTTGGGAGCTGCGGCGTCCTCTGGTGGTGGGGGAAGAGCAGTGCTCAGAGAGAGGTCTCTTGGGGGGGTTGTGTTCCAGAAGCTGGGGGCAGCATCTGTCTTGTGGCCAGACGAGGTGGTGATGGGGGGCTCTCTGACGTTACCTGGGACATGGATACAGGTTGGAATCCTGGAAAGTGCCAAGGGGGTCCTGCCAAGGCAGGAAGACTTTTGGTGTTGATTTCCTATGTTTGATCAGATGCTGGTCCATGCTGGTGAGCGCTCTGACTGGTCTGCTGGGGACCCTGGCCTTGCCCCTGGGCGTGCAGTGTCCCCTGCCAGTATCTGTGAAGCCTTGGGGCAGTGTGCATGGCTGGGCACTCATGCTGCTCAGAGGTGATGCCTGTGGCTGGGCAGACCCTGTCCAGCTCTCTTGCCATCTGTGGGGTGGCTTTTGCAGAGCTTTTATCTTGGCAGTGGGGTGGGCATGGGCTAGCATGGGCCATGGTGAGGTTGGCAGGGGTTGCCAAGTGCCTGCCCCCAGCTGCACCCTCTGCCCCTGCGCACCAGGTGGTCAGCCTCCAGACCGCAGTATCCCTGGACTTGCACACCCTGTTCCTTGCTGTGGTGCAGTCGCGGGCTCCAGCAAGGGTGAGTGTCTGAGGCCCTGCCTGATGGGAAACCTGGGTGCGGCTGACAGGAGTCTCGCCTTGCTTCACAGAGAGAAAACGACGAGGAGATGAAAGCAGCCAAAGAGAAGCTGAAGTACTGGCAGCGGCTGCGGCACGACCTGGAGCGGGCCCGCCTGCTCATCGAGCTGCTGCGCAAGCGAGAGAAGCTGAAGCGTGAGCAGGTGAGGGCCTGCGCGGCTGTGCTGTCTCCCGGGCGGCCACCCCCGCTTCCCCCACATCTCCCCACTTGTGCCCTCCGAAGGTGCTACCTGCACGCATGCCAGGCTCAGGGCCTTCTTGGGGGTCAGGGAAGTCGCTGTGGCACAGGGCACATGGCCGTGGACCCGGGATGCCTGGTGTCTGGGGCTGTGGGGTGCGTACTCCCTTGAGACGGTGGCGCTGTGGTCCCAGGTGAAGGTGGAGCAGATGGCCATGGAGCTGCGGCTGACGCCTCTGACTGTGCTGCTACGGTCTGTGCTTGAGCAGCTGCAGGACAAGGACCCTGCCAAGATCTTCGCTCAGCCCGTGAGTCTGAAGGAGGTGCGTGTCGCCATCTGTCCCGTGTCAGTGACAGGGGACCCATCCCTGGTGTGCCCAGTTCTTGTCCTCATGGTGTATGTGTGTGTTGGATCACAGAAAGTGACACATTCCATGGCACAGTGTGGAGGGCCTGGGTGGCAGTCTGCACCTTGGCCCTCCATGTTGGTGGCTGGCTGTTCTTCCAGCAAGGGGACTGGGCTCAGGAGGGTGCCTGCAGGGGCTGGGGGTGTGTCCACCTGGCCTAGTGTTGGCTGTATGCATATAGTTGGGGTGGGTGTGGGATCTCTCAGACATCACCCATGACATAGATAGCAGGTTTGGATCCTGGTTTGTAAATGGTTGTTTTCCTCCCTGAACTCAGGTGCCAGATTATCTGGATCACATCAAACATCCCATGGACTTTGCCACAATGAGGAAGCGGCTAGAAGCTCAAGGGTATAGAAACCTCCGTGCGTTTGAGGAGGATTTTACTCTCATTGTAGATAACTGCATGAAGTACAATGCCAAGGACACCGTGTTTTATAGAGCCGCAGTGAGGCTGCGTGATCAGGGCGGTGTTGTTCTGAGGCAGGCCCGGCGTCAGGTGGACAGCATCGGCCTAGAAGAGGCCTCGGGAATGCACCTGCCTGAGCGGCCTGCTGCGGCCCCTCGGAGGCCTTTCTCCTGGGAAGACGGTAAGAACCACCACTGCGTCCAGCGAGAGCCGGGAGGATGACTTCCCACCAGATGGGCAGTGTTCAGGTTCCCTGAGACCTTGAGGACACTGCCACGGTGTTGGGATGTGGTTCTTGGTCTCTGCATTTGGGTTGCCCGGCCCACTCGGCACTTCTCAGGAAGCCCTGCTGTGCCCCTAGTGCCCGCTAGGAAGATGTGGCCCGTGGCTGCCTGGGTCTAGGTAATGTAGACCAGGAAGGTGGTGGAGTTGGGGATTTGTGTTCAGAGTGGCGCTGGTGGCTTCCAAGCGAGTCTTGCAGCTGAAGTGTTGGCAGGAGCTCTTACTGTCTGTGCCCTGGGTGCTGGCTTTGAGGTGTCCCGTGTGTCTGGCCTCAGTGAGGGCCTGTGCTGCCCGGGTGCCCCACGCGGGCACAGCTGCCCCTCTTCTTTGGCTGCCTCCTCCTGAGTGGTCCTTGGAAACCTCCCTGCCCCTCTGGCTAAGCATTTGCTGAGTGAGGTGTGCATCCGAGTTGCTAGTGGAGCTCTTCAGTGTGCATTTCCTGTGTTTGTATTGTTAGTCAAAGCCCTGGTGTCTGGTGCTTTGTTTGGAGGTCTGAATTCTGGCCTTGGGCTGCCCTTCCTCCTGGTTAATCACTGACCCTGGGCCTGGACTCCCCGGGAGGTGGCCTGCGCCCTGGCCCAGCCCCTCCCTGTGCTCCCCCCTATGCAGCAGTTGTGGCCTTGGTGTCCACAGCCCCCTCAGTGGACAGGGCGAGAGGCCTGAGTCATGTGTTTAACGAGTGATCACACTGCTTGCTGCATGCGTTGCGGTGGCACAGCCTTTGTGCTAACGGGAAGGCAGGGATGAGAAGTCTGCTTTATTTCTCCTGCTGTGTTTCAGGGTTGGGTGGGGAGGGGGAGCCTGGGCTCCGAGGGGTGCCTGCCATCCGTGTGTTAGCACTGGGCCTGCTGTGATGACCATGCCAGTGGACGCAGGGCTACTGGTCCTCTGTAAGAGGAGAAGGGCAGTGCCAGGCTGTTCGCTAAGTGAGGAGAGCATTGTGCTGGAGACGTGTTTTGTCTCTGCTGTCTCTGCTTGCTGTGTGGACGAGCTGCTTCAGTAAGACTGATTTCTGGAGGACGTGGGCTGCTGCGTCTGGGTGGTCCTGCGCTCTGTTGTGTCATCTTCCTCTTGCTCCTGCGCTTCCTCTGGCTCCTGCTTTTGTCATCAGATAGCTCGAAAGGGTAGTTTCTTGTTTTGCTCATCTGTTGCTAGTTGATGGTGGTTTATGCTTTAGGTTTTGGAAGTTTGCTGGAATAGAGGTTGTAGGGACTTTTGTAGTAAATATGCTAGGAATTTAGAGGAATGTGTGGGCTTGGGATGACATTTGTGACGTGTAAACAGCTCCGGGTTCACATTTAAACACTGTCACTTCTAGCGTGGGCAGACCCTGTGTGGCTGGCCTTGTGCTTGTGGGCCGACTGGGCCCTGTGCATGGAAGAACCTTGTGCACAGGAGAACCTGGTCTCTGCTTCAGCCATGGAGTCCTCGCCCTGTGGCTGTGAGGAGAGAATTCTCTCTCAGGAGCTTTCTTTTCTTATGGCTCAGCGCGTGTGAGTGGCTTGTGTGTGGCCTCAAGTGTCCGCGCTGGGCCTTGGTGAGGAGCGTTAAGGACGGTTGGGTGAGGAGCTGACAACTGATGTGGTGTCCTCTGATCCAGTGGACAGGTTGCTGGACCCAGCCAACAGGGCCCATCTGGGTCTGGAGGAGCAGCTGAGGGAGCTGCTGGACAAGCTGGACCTTACCTGTTCCATGAAGTCCAGTGGCTCGCGGAGCAAGCGGGCAAAGCTGCTCAAAAAGGAAATCGCCCTGCTACGCAGCAAGCTGAGCCAGCAGCACAGCCAGCCCCCTGCCCCGGGGCCCAGCCCGGGAGGCTTGGAGGAGGACACAGCCCCACCGGGGCCAGATGCGGGCGAGGAAGGTAAGCACGGCCTCAGGGCCTCGGCAGTGTCGCGCTTGTACAGTTTGGGCATTCTAAAGCTCATGCAGCTCTGGCCACAGGGTCTTCCTGCCAGGTTTGTTTTCTTTTGAGAAGACCTTGCAGTCTGTGTCGTCTGTGCTGTGTGCCGGCACACTCGTGGTTCACTGCCTTTAAGGCACAGAGTGAGACCTGTTTTTCTTAAGGTGAGCCTACAGCTCTTCAGAGTTTATGGTCTGTGTTTTTGTGCTTTGTAGATGGAGGGAGAGCTGTGTCATTAGTGGACTAGGTCAGACAGGGCTCTTGGAGGTGCTGTTTTAAATGGTGAGGACAGGGCCGCTGTCCTGAGGTAGTGCGGGTGGGAGGAAGCTGCTCCTTGTCGTCCAGCAGGCCTTCTTGTGAGTGACCTCAGGGGGTGTCCATGGGTCTCAGCAGTTAGAGGGACCTCTGGGAAAGGCCTGGGCAACAGGGAGGAAGGGTGGACAGAGAAACCTGTCTGCCCAGTGGGAAACTCCTGGAGCCCTGTTGGGCTAGGCAGTGAGAACCTGGTGAGCTCATCCAGGTGGCAGGCGGGTGGGCTGTGGGGAGTGCCTCTGTCTTTCTGGCGACAGTCGGCTTTCAGTTGCAGAGTGGGGAGTAGTGTAGGGCCTGTTCTGCCACCGTGTTAGCAGCTTGGCTTGTAAGCTCCCTTCTCCTGGCTCATCTGGACAGGAGCAGAGCATTAAGGCAGGACAGATGTCATTGGTCAGCATTTTATTTGATCTCTGGCTGCTTATGTCAGTAACCTTGACGCTGCCTGGCCCTCGAGGGGACAGGGCGTCAGCAGCGTGTGAGCTGCTCAGTGACTGCCTGGGGTGCTGGCCTCAGTCTGGCGGGCCTGCTGCTCCCATTGTGGTCCCCTGTGCTCTCTTGAGCGTCAGCTGCAAGCACGTGGGCCGGAGCCAGTGGGCTTCCTTGTCTCGGAAGCCGCAGCCTCAGTGTGCTTGCCTGGGCCTTCTCCTTTCTTTCCTCACCATGTGCACGGTGGAGCTTGTTCCTTGTGTGACATGTGGGCATCCCATTCTCGAGAAGCCTTTGTCATGAGCAGTGGCCTCCTCTGCCTTATGCAGGGCCTGCTTGTTTCTTGGAGCATTTGCTTAGATTACCTGACTTGCCCAGGACCCTGGCTGTTTTTTTTTTAGTTCCCAGATGGCGTAATCACTGTCTCCCATGGTGGCCGAGCCAGTCCTGGGCCTGAGGATGATCCCCAGGGCCTCCGACTTTTTGGTCTGTGTGCTATTCCTGGTCCTGGAGAGAGAGAGGAGCTTGTGCCCGGCCAGTCCCTTTCACTGGAGGAGCCAGACTTTGGGCCTCATCTTCAGAGTGCAGAACTGGCCTCTCGCCACACGGGTTTGCCCTTCAGTCCTTTCCTCGAGGCCCCAGCCTCTCCAGCTGGGCTTGCTGGATGGAGGACCTTTACCCACTGCACCATGGCTCCCTGGGTGCCTCCACCTTGAGCAGGGACCAGTGGGTACCTCGTTGCTTTGGAGTGTGAATCCTGTTAGAGACCGTGGCGTGGGCTCTTGAGAGAAGTGCCTGCAGTGGCCACAGGTTGTTGAGGTGTTTAAGGTTACCTGGGCGCCTCCGAGAGAGGGGACTGGAAGGGGCAGCCCGGCCTCCTGCTCTGAGGCAGAGTAGGGAAGGAAAACATAGACTCACACTTAAACACAAGAGGTGGAACTTGAGGTGCAGCACCCCTGGGCAGGCGGGGGTGGGGGGTGCCTATGCCTGTGCAGAGGGAGTTCCAGTGGCCGGGAGCAGGCACTTGGGGTTTCATCTGCCCTTCTGCTCTTCTGGGCCTGTGTTTCTCTTAGATACAGTCTCAGTCTCTTGGGGTATAGTTGAGTATTGACTCAAGCTTATAGAAGCGTGCACAGGGCAACTGCTGGGTACCAAGGCCGAGGCCGAGGCAGGAGGCCCCTGGCCTGGCTGGGGGCCAGGCTGTCTGTGTGCCTGGTGTTGACGTTGGGTTCCCAAGCACCTGGGGCTGAGGGTGAGGCCCACTTGGCAAGGTGGTGATGAGCCTGTGGGTGGACTTGGGCTCTTGGGGCTGTGGGTCAGCCAGCTGGTGGGTGCAGGGCAGGGAGGGCAGGCTGAGCTGGGGGTCACAGGGAGCCCAGTGAGAGGTCTGCGTCAGTCTGACACGCCTGCGGCTCCTTTGTACAGTGGTGGCTTGGCGCTCAACAGGTTTCTGCCCAGTGTGGAATCCAGCGTGTAAGCACTGCTCTTCTTGGCTGCAGAGGTGGGGCAGGAGCAGGCATGCGGGGCCAGGGTGGTGGACGGCGTGGGGGGCAGCACCCCAGGTGGTGCTGTGGCCTTGCAGTGGCTGGTGTGGGATGCAGTGTAGGTGCATTGGGACGTTTTGTCCTGTGGCCCAGTGAGTTTGGGTTGCATCCTAGGGCAACCATGTCCTGGCCAGTGGTTTTGCTGGTGTGTGTATGGATGAGTCCTGGCTTTGATCTTCAGAGCCGAGATTTCGGTTCATGTGTGGAGCTTGCTAGGCAGTGAATAGAGCAGTTCTCATGTGCAGTTAAATATGCCATGGAATGGTTGGTGGCCAGTGAGCTTTTGGAAAAAACTGATAATTGCAGATTTCTCCTGGGGAACCTGATGGGCCCTGGTTGGTTGGGTCTACTTCATGAGGGCTGGTGGTAGGAATTCCTCCTTCACGGCCATCCAGCAGGTGGTGGGCACTGCTGTTTCTGTTTCTGTATGAGAAAACTGAGGCACAGAAGGTTCTCAACATAGCCTGTCTCAGCAGGGAGGAGGTTTTCACCTGACACCTCCAGTGCTCTGCCTCTCTTTCAGTAAGTGCTGTGGGATAGCACTCAGCAAGCCTCAGCTGGTGGCCAGAAGCTGGCAACCTGGGTACAGGTGGAGCTGCCAGCAGAGTGGGTCCGGGCCAGCATGTCAGGGTCCCTGGGGTGGGAGGTGTGGCCCTCGTGTGACCATCTTCTGCCCACTGGGAAGTCGGATACTCTGCTTTCTGGGCAGTTGGGGAGAGATGGGTGGGTGCTGGCACCCCCTTGCCAGCCTTGCCGGGATCCCTGTGAGTAGTTTCACAGTGCCATGGTCAGGACGTGTACTCACATAGGCAGGGCAGAGGTCATGCAGAAGGCCAGCTGAGGTACTGTGGTTGGCTTGGCTCAGCCTGACTCCTACCAGCCCTTGGGCGACCATTGTCCGTCGTCCCTGTGCAGGATCTGAGCCAGTGTGCACTGTCTGCAGAAGGCCTTGAGGAAGGCCCTGCAGATGCGAGCAGGACAGGCAGGGAGCTCCTGTCAGCCTCCGTCGTGCCAGTGCCTGCGTCCCAGGTCTGTTTCGTGGGAACCGTGGTCCTTAGGTTTGACTCAGGCAGGAGTTCTGTGGACTGATAGGCTCGTGCCTGGTTTCTGTGGGGCCTAGAGTGGAAGGTCCTTCTGAATGCAGGCTCTGTGTCCCCAGGGCACGTGTGGAACAGGAGCACTCTCAGTCCCAGGGCCATAGGGTGTGGCTAAGGGGCTGGCGCTCAGCCCTGCTTGCTGTTCTTTGAGGTACTTAGGGAGGACTTGCCCTGCTTTAAATTGGGTCTGAGTTGGTCAGATGACCCAGAGACATAACTGAAGCTTTTTTCTAAAGCTTTTACTTTCAGAATGAGCTTTTGAGTTAGAATGTAACTAGTCCATATTTCAGACGTTTTGTGGAAAGTTTTCAGCTTTAGGGAACTGTACCTTTGATGCTGTGCGCTCCTTTAGCTCGTTCAGGTGGTCGCTGTGCTCTGTGTCACACTTCCTGTAGCCGAGATCAGTGCTGCTCGGGGAGAAACCCTGCAGCCCTGCCCGGTGTGGCCTAACCTCGCTCTGCGCACCCGTCCTGGCCCTTGGGCTTCTAGTGTGTGAAGACACTTGTGCCTCTCCAGCTCGGTAATGTCAAGTTGGTTGTTGTGAAGTGGCTTTTGTAAGAGGTTAAAATACTCTGTTTCCAAAGACTGTGTTTTAAAGTCAGATAGGTAAGCAAGGCTTTCAGGAGAGCTGCCCAGAGCTCTGTAGAGTAGAAGGGTGGGGGCCCGGCCTGGCCCGCCTCACCTCGAGAGTCCTTCCCTGCCACTATGGCTCTCTGGTTTTGTCTCCTTGGAAAGCCCTGGTCAGGATGACTCGGGCGTTGTCTGCTGAGGTCTGCCTAGGCAACAGCGCAGTGCAGCTCTCTGCAGGGAGCTTGCCTGGCCCCCTTAGTTCTGTGACTGTGCGTCGTCCTGAAGGTAAGTGAATACAGACTGCAGACTGTCTTGAGCTCAGAATGCCATGTGCAGATGTCAGTGTGTGTGAATTGTGTGCTCACGTTTTTCCGGAGTAATTCTGCACCTGGGCGGAGGGCCGCAGGCCTCAGCCTTGCGTGGTTAGGGAGATGCACATGGCCAGCGCTACCCAGGGCCACCCAGCGGCCCAGCCCTCCCTGCCCAGCACAGTTGTGTGTGATGCTTTGTTTCCTTAATTGAAATAGTATTTTGGTGGACTTCACATTTATAGTAAGTTTTATAATAGACTTTATAATCTTCAGTTTTCAAAAATCACTTTATTTATAATTTTTTCAGGAGATAAATCTCCCCCTAAACTTGAACCATCAGATGCATTACCTCTTCCTTCAAACTCGGAGACTAATTCAGAACCACCAACCCTCAAACCAGTAGAACTCCACCCTGAGCAGAGTAAACTATTCAAAAGAGTCACATTTGATAATGCATCACATAGCCCATGCACTCAGAGCGCACTGGTAAGCGGACACCCTCCAGAGCCCACCCTCGCCAGTAGTGGCGATGTGCCGGCGGCGGCGGCAGCCTCCGCAGTGGCGGAGCCATCAAGCGATGTAAACAGACGCACTTCTGTTCTCTTCTGCAAATCGAAAAGTGTAAGCCCCCCAAAGTCTGCCAAGAACACTGAAACCCAGCCAACTTCTCCTCAGCTAGGGACCAAAACCTTTTTGTCTGTAGTCCTTCCGAGGTTGGAGACTCTACTGCAGCCAAGGAAAAGGTCGAGGAGCACATGTGGAGACTCCGAGGTGGAGGAGGAGTCCCCGGGAAAGCGCCTGGACACAGGTAAATGTCAGGCTGGCTGTCCTGCCCGGCACGTGCTGCCCGGCACGTGCTGCCCGGCCTGCGGGCGGCTCTGATAAATCTGTCTGCGGTGCTGAGCTTTGTTTTTGCAGCATTCTCTTCATTTCCAGAGAAGACAGGAGCCCCATGGTTTTGTCTTTTAGAATCCTAGATTGCAGGGGTGGGTCGGTGCCCTGTGGGAAGTGGCCGTGTGGCCTCTGACCCCCGGGCTAGGGCTGTTGCTGATACGGGGTGGCCCTGGTCCCTTCTTCCTCTCTGGTCTTCTGAGCATCAAGAGCAGCTCTCGGCCAAGGCCTGGCTGAGCACCTGGAGCAGAGGGTGTGCACGTCTGTTGGGCCATGGCAGGGAGCTTCACCCCCAGGGGTCTCCTGAGCGGGACCTGCACTTGGGCCTCCCTGCTCTGCACTGTTGGGGTCCTGAAGGCTTCTGTCCTGGTATGGTGCTACCCTGTTGATTGTCACCACCTTGTAACATGCAGAGGTGTTTGTCCGTGACTGCGGAGGTTTTGTGACTCCAGTGTGTTTTGCTGACGGACTGGGAGGCTTCCGCTGTGCTCTCCTGTGCGCTGCATCCTTGGCGTTTCCGGGGTTGGAGGCGCGTGGCTCTCTGCGCCTCTGCCCCCAACCTGTCCGATAGGAGCCATGTGTTTCCGTGTTCTCGGGAGAGTGGCTGCCAGTGGTCTGTTCCTCTGGAGTGGGCATGCCTTTGCGAGGGGCCAGGGTCAGGCCCCTTTCAGGGCTGGCCCAAGCTGCATCCTGTGTGTTTTCTGTCCACCGCCACACTTAGATGGGGAGGAGGTGCCACCTTCAGCTGCCTCGGTGCAGCAGCTTGCCATGCGTTGCTGTGGTGAGGACATGGGGCCAGGGTAGTGTCCTTTCATTTGCTGGAGTGGTGACAAGTGAACCCCATGTCCCAGAGCCTTGCCAGGCCGGGCAGGCAGTGGTGTCTGCTGGTGACCCCCTCCTTGCTCAGCCTTGCTGCACCTCCTGCCTAGAGCATAACTCAGAGGTCTGCGTGTGGAGGGTGTGGCCTGCTGTGGCCAATCCTCCCTTCCTCCAAGATAAGCCCCTCCTCCTTTCCGTCCTTCAGACTCCCGCTTGCTCTCCCCGCTTCTCCCCCACTCTGTCCTCCTACCCCTTCTAACAGGGCCTCACGACAAGCTTCATTTTGACTTGGCACATGTAATTACTTCTGTAGAAACTCTATCCGGGTCCTCTTATTTTGATGGATTGATATTTAAAGTCTGATAAAACTTTCTTTGTTTCTGAGAAGTACAAATCAATTTAAATGCCTAGCAGGATGGAAGATGAAGAGAGAGGTTAAATCTTTTCAGTCCTTCTCGTACACTGCAGCTCAGCCTTCCTGACCGCTGTGAAGTGCTTGCTGGATCCCCATGATAGGTCAATGCATTGCTTTGGTGCCAGCGCTGGCCTTGGGCCTCTGTGCATGTGAGGGCGAAGGCTGACGCTGCCTCCTGGGCTTTGTGGCTGTCCGGTGGTGTAGGGCACGGGCCACTGTGGGCCGGAGGGCCGAGTCATGGGGCTGCTGTGCCTCCCCGGGTGTGTGGGTGACTTGCCTGTTTAGGCTCAGCTTCGGACATGGGTTTAGGAGCACACAGGCTTGTTCACAGATGTTCTGTTTTTGCTTTTTTGAGTCAGGGCTTCACTCTAATTCAGGCTGGCCTCAAACTCAGTGATTCTCCTACCTCAGCCTCCTGAGTGCTGGCATTATAGGCATGTGCCAGCACACCAGACGTTCTTTGTAGGAGTCGGGTACCTGCCCTGTTCTTGTGCCACGTTTCCGTGGCATGTAGTCCAGGTTTTGGTGGTGGTGAGCTGTAGGGCGCCGTCTGCTGCAGACCTTGAATACTTGTGATTGCAGCGTGCCTTTGATCCTGACTGAAATGGGGATTTTTGCTTTCTTATTCCAGAGTGGCAGTAGAGTTCAGTGGATGCGAGTTGAATTGCTAAGCGCACCCCTGAGCACCCGGGAGCCTTAGCTAAGATCAGCCCCTCGGGAGTGCGAGGCTGCCGCTGCTGCATCTGCTCTGCCCAGGGCGGCCGGGCGTGGCTGAAGGTGCCAGCCTTGCCATCATGCTGGCCTCGCCTTTGCCCGAACGTTGGGTGCCCTCTGCGCACCTGGATTTCTTGCTCGAGTTGCACTCTTCTTCGCAATCGGAAGACGAAATATTTGGAGCCTTCTGAGCTTTCCCAGATGTATCCAACACTTTGAACTTTAGGGCTGGTGCTCTCCGGTGCGCTACAGGACCTGTGTGAGAGGGAGCGCGCCCACTGCACCTCCACAGGCCGCCTGGCGCCCGTGCTGCAGCAGGGCGGTGTGCAACGCCGAGGTCCGGCTCGTAGAGCCAGCCTGCCTGGCAGCTTCCTTCCCAGGGATCTGGACATCAGGCGGGCTCCGCCTCTTCCTCTGAGACTTGGTGGAGATGGTTGTGCATGGGGTAGGGAACTAGGGCTGGGTCTCCCACGCCCTGGACTGTGCTGGGCAGAGGCTGGTCTCCTGCGCTTCCACAGACTCTGGCTTCTCACTCTTCTCCCGATTCCGACTTAGCTGCTCATGCGCTGAGTAGCTCCCTCTTTGGATCCTGATCCTTTCTCTTACCTCAACCCGGACTGCAGTCTGCTCATGGCCACTGGGATGCAGAACGATGGCCACCCCTTGCCCTGACTGATTGCACTGGAGCCACCCTTTAAAGAACGATGACGCCAGCTGCTGGAGACGTCACAGACACTCCACCCACCATCAGGTCCTGGGGGCTGGTGCCCTCCTTGAGCTGGGGATGGCTCTATGCCTCCGTCCTCCCTGAGTGGACAGTCTGGTGCACGCCGGCACCAGCAGCACCATGGACAGTCTGATCTCCGCCCTGCGTGTGCCCAGCAGGGGCCTGTGACGACAGGGCTCTGCATAGGGTGGCTGGGTCCAGCGTCTGGAGGGACTGAGCACGTGGCCCCATCTGAAGATGCCCTCACTCGGTGGTCATCACCTCCGCTTCTCATTTCCACCTGGCTTCCTTCTCCCTTAAGTCTCTCTGCTTCCTTCCTTCCGGGAGGATGGAACCGGGTCTACTTCTGTCCGCTGGCGCTGTACCGAGTGCCAGCGGGACTGGCTGACCAGCCCACCTGCGAGACCCTCCGAGACATCCTGCCCAGGCTATGCTTGCCTGTCCTGTGCCTGTCCTGCTGTCCCCAGCAGCGTCCTCATGGAGCTTCTCTCACCAGTGCAGGCGGTGGGGGCGTCTTGTTTGCTGTTCTCTTACTGAAGTTTGAAAAGCACACCACGTATGCAGTTCTCTGGGCAGTCGCAAAAGTAAAACGAGCCAGCGGCAGAGGGCATGTGCCACCCACCCAGCCCTGCCATGCTCGGGCTCTGTGGCTGGGAGCAGGCTGTGGGCTTTCTGATGCTGGAACATCCCCACCAGCCACGGGCCACCAGTGCCTGTGTTCTTACTTCCTCCAGCAGGGTTCAGGGGAGCAGTAAAGCAGGGTGGCACCTACAGAACCAGGGCCAGGTGCCTCAGGTGGCATGGCATGGGTGTGTTCTGCTGTCCCTTCTCAGCGCCTTTGGAGTCCATGGAGCCATGGTGGAGAGAGCGGCTCCTGGCCCTAGCACTCCATGCCCTGCGCTCTTTACCCACTGCACCCCAGGGTTTCTGCAAGGCCGAGGCAGCAAGGACCATGCCTGACTTTCCCCTGCTCCTGTGGGTGGACCACATAGGAGCTTAGTCCTGCCTGTGGACGTGAGCTGCTGAGAGAGTGGGGAGTTCTGGGGGATGCCATGGGTGTCCATGTGCAAGGTCTGGCTGCCACGAGCCTGTCTCCATGACAGAGTGGCATGTAGCCTGGGCGGCATGTAGGCCTTGGCGCTTGGTGGCATGTGGGGCTGAGGTATTGGCCCTCTCTGGCACCGTCTCGACGGTTCTCTCGGCTTCTCAGTTGCTGCTAGTTTGTCACATCCACAGTCTTGGGCTGGAAGCTGTGGGAGTGAGTGCCTGCTGTTTGCAGGTGACCTTGGCCCATCTGTGGACCTCCACACCCTCCCAGGGCCCGGGATTCCAGACTTAGGACTGAACAAACACCTTTCCTGGCCTCGCAGGATTGCGGAGTGCAGTGAGCCCTGTGGTCGCAGTACTCTGAGGAACCCTCCTGCGGGCGGCCTGTGCAAAATACACGCACACAGCAATTCATGGGCTGTGGTGGTGGCAGTGGCGGGAGGGGCTGTGGCTGCTGCTGGGCCACAGCTCTGCGGTTCCAGACAGCACTCAGGACTTCTCCACGCTGGGGGCTGGATCCTCGCCTATCATCTCCTGGGACACGTCCAGAGCTGGCAGCCTTCCAGAGCCTGGTCTGACCACACAGGCGCCTGCCTGCTTCAGCCACTGCACCCTTCCAAAACTGGCCTGGTGTCCAGCCTGTTCTGCACCCAGCCTCAAAGGTCTTTCCTGGACTGTCCCCCCGGGCTGCCCAGGTGCTTGGTGTACTTCCACGTGAGGCTTGAAAAGTCTGTGTAAACAACTTGTGGCCCACATCCATGAGCCCAGTCGTTAAATGCTCGGAAAACAGAAGATGCAGTCACCAACCTTTGCAGCCTCTCTGCTTCCTCTGTGTCACTGTGGGCTCAGACTGCACCTTAGGTGGAGCACGGAGCAGCTGCCATCTTTTTGGAGGATGTGTGTGTGTGTGTGTGTGTGTCCTTGGACAGCCTAGACAGGAAGCATGTACCATCCGCAGGCTGTGTTCAAGGAAGGCTGTCTTGGCTTTATCTTCCACAGCTGGCTGAGCCCTGGAGTGTGGGTCAGGCCGCCACAGCTCCGCCTGGGTCCTCTGCAGCTGACCCTGATGGCACAGCCCCGGGTGGGAAGCAGTGTCAGTGCCAGCCGGTCGCGTTGCTCTTCTTTTCTGGCCCCGTCTGCAGAGGGCTCGCCGTGCGCGGTAGTCTCAGGGTGTGTAGTCCCTCCCAGCGCGTGTGTCCCCTGCTCCGGATGTGCGCTTGAGCTTTGGAGCAGCACAGGTGTCAGTGGTGTGGACTGCTTGTCTAAGGCCTAAAGGGTCACTGGCAGAGCTGTGCGTGGCAGATGGCATTGGTCTTTTGGTCCCTTCTCAGACCCTGTGTTCAGGGGCATCAGTTCTGTCCATCTGTCCTCCCATGCTGGGTGGGCGTCGTGGCGATGTGGCTCAGAGTCGCATGTGCCCTGTGCCTCAGGCTCAGTGGGGTCCGGCTCCTTCCTTGTCCCAGTCCTCTGCTTTGTCAGTGCACAGTGGTCGGAGGGTGGCGAGGGCCCTGTGTCAGCAGGGGTGGGAGCTTTTCCCTGAGGGAAGGTGGAGGTAACCAGGGGCCAGAAGCCATGATCTGGCCACAGAGCCAAAGCTCTCTGAGAAGTTTCATTCACCAGTTCACACATTTCACTTTGGACATGACTTTTAAATTAAATTTTTAAGGATGATAAGTGGGAAGGTGGGACTTCTTTCTGTGACCCCTTACCCAGCTGTTGCACCCGAGGGTGCCAGGCCAGGCACACAGCCAGTCGGCCCCACCCTCCCGGCCGGGGCTTGTGACACCGTGTTTCCGCTGCTGTGCTGGGGTGCAGTGGGTGCTGTGGCCACCCTGCTGAACTGCTCTTCTGTCTGTTGAGCGCCCACAGTGGGCGCCTCAGGGCTCGGGTGCCTTCGTGCTGTGGATCTGGAGGACTTGAAGTAATGGGGCCCTCATTTTCTATTTTTAAAGTGTTTTGTCGGCATTCTCCAGGTTCATATTAATTTATGTGTTTTGAAACAAGCTTATTTAGAATCTAATTTACTCTCGTTGGAGCTGCACAAATACAAGTGTGTTTTTGTTGGTGATGACACCCTGGTGCCTGTGGGTTTGTGTCCCTGGTGTGGACAGGTGGCCTTTGCCATAGCCCCTAGGAGTGTGCGATGCCACCCGATCTGTGAGCCAGCCAGGCAGGGGGAATGAGTGCCTTCACTAGGGTGCTTCTGGGGAGAGTGACGAGGCCTTCCCTGTCTTCCTGCAGCCCTGTTCACCCTGATCCCAGTTGTCATGTTGGTTTCCCTCTGCAGCCTCTGCTCTGTGTGCAGAGCTCCGTGCTGGGGACCCGAGGGGTGAAAGACACTGAGCCTGGCGGGCGGATATAGCTGTCAGGACAGGCGTGGGGGTGTTGAGAGCATGCTGCTCTGACCAGGCTGACCGGCAGCTGCCTGCTGTGTTCCAGGTCTCACCAATGGCTTTGGGGGCACGAATGAGCAGGAGCCGGGCGGCGGCCCGGGGAGGAAAGCTGCGCCCCGGCGGCGCTGTGCGTCTGAGTCAAGCATCTCTTCTAGCAACAGCCCGCTCTGCGACTCCAGGTGGGCACCGCCTCGCCTCCGCCTGCGCAGCCTCCGAGCACCCCCTGCTCTCAGCACCCGCCTGGCCGCTCTGGAGCCAGGGGCGCCGGCTCCAGACCTAAGGGCCCTGAGAGAGCCTGGCCTGGGATCCGATCCATGTGTCCACTCTGCCTGGTAGGACAGCTTCCCATATGATGCTCATCTGCTTTGTAGCATTTTATTGTAAATGGGAATAAAACCACAGCAAAGCTTAGCACAGCTGCAGAATCTGTGGAGATTCACACCTAACTGTCTTGCCCTGAGTCTTGCCTTTGTTGAGATGGTGGTCACCACAGCCCTGCCTGGCTGCCCAGGGTTGGGGGAGGGCCTTAGGTGGCTGGACAGGGTGTCTGTGACTGGTTGCCCTGGTCACGACAGGTCTGGTCACGGGATGTGAGGCTCTGTCCTCAGCCCAGCCTGCTGCCCAGCAGCTTCAGAACACACGTGCCTGGGTCAGGGTGAAGTGCGGGCTGGGTGCCCGCCCTTGACTGGACCCCACTCTCCCCGCAGCTTCAGTGCTCCCAAGTGTGGGCGTGGCAAGCCTGCCCTCGTGCGGAGGCACACGCTAGAGGATCGCAGCGAGTTGATTTCCTGTATCGAGAATGGCAACTATGCCAAAGCGGCCCGGATCGCAGCCGGTGAGCCCCATGCAGCCCCAGACGTTGGTGGAGTGCTTGGGGTGCAGAGTGTGGCGGTGGTCCAGGCACAGTGTTACCAAGCCGAGCCCACAATGTCTGCTGATGGCTAATGGGGCTCCTACCCCGTGGCCCAGTGGTTTCCACAAGCAGAGGCTGAGGTCAGGGTGACTTGGCCCTGCGTTGGGGCTGGCCAGCAGCCAGGGCTCTGGGGCAGAGACCCCTGCTGCCTTGGGCCTGGATTTCTGGGGGCACAGGGCTCACTGAGGTGGCCCTGCAGGCGGAAAGGTTAGGGACAGTAGGAGGCTGGGCCCATGGGCCCCCTAGAAGCTTGATAGGTGTGACGCAGCCCAGGAGGCGCTGTGCAGGGGCCCAGGGAGACTTTGCTGCCCTGCAGAGGCTCTGGCCCTTGCCTTCTAGCAGTCTTCCAGAGACAAGCGCCCTCTGCTGGGATGAGCAGGGATGTTCTTTGGAGGCAGCCAGGAGGTTGGTCTTAGATTTGAAGCCGTGGACACTGTGCACCTGTTACAGGCTGAGAGCCCATCCTTGGCGGGGTGGGTGGCAAGGGGTTGGGCACCAGTGGTCTAGGCTTGCTCTGGGGAGGGCAGGAGATTGTCCAGATGGGTTGGGAGGGGAGGATCCTGGGTCTGGGGCTGTGCTTACCGCCAGGGCTCCTTCCTCCCAGAGGTGGGGCAGAACAGCATGTGGATCTCCACGGATGCCGCCGCCTCCGTGCTGGAGCCGCTAAAGGTGGTGTGGGCCAAGTGCAGTGGCTACCCCTCCTACCCCGCGCTGGTGAGTGCACCGCCATGGCGACCTGAGCTGCAGGGGGTGGGCAGCATTGGACACAAGCCTCAGAGTGACCGAGTGTGTCTTTTCAGATCATTGACCCCAAGATGCCAAGAGTGCCTGGCCACCATAACGGTGTCACCATCCCGGCACCACCGCTGGACGTGCTGAAGGTGGGCGAGCACATGCAGACCAAGTCCGAGGAGAAGCTCTTCCTTGTCCTGTTCTTTGACAACAAGAGGAGCTGGTGAGCATGGCCACGGGTGTGCACCCCTCGGTGACGTGTGGGCTGTGCGGCTGCCGGTCCTCGTGTTGCCGATGCTCAGATGGGGCTGAGAGAGGCTGCCCATTTGGACTGTGGGGACCCGTGTGGAGCGCTGGTTTGTCTCTTCTTCTCGGGGACGGGGCTCTTGCTGGCGTAGGCCACTGCAGTGCTGCTCTGGCACCTGGGGGAGGCTGGAGCTCCCTGGCGCTCTGCGCTCTGCCTGGAGCTCCCTATCAGTCTCCTGGCCCCTCCCATGCCCCGAACTCTCTGCAGGAAGGTGCAGTGCACTGGCCCTTGTTCTGCTGGGACACTGGCCCTCAAAAGCTGCATCCCCATCCCTGGCAGATGCTCTGCTCTGAGTATAGAGGCCCGGTACCCATGGGCTTGTCCCACATAGCCACGCAGGGATGTCGGGACTGGTAACTGCCCTGTAACTCTTTGTGTGGGCCCCAGAGGGTGGGGAGGTGGCTGTGGGTGAGGGCTGTGCCCGGCAACTGGGTCACCGCCCCTTATCTCCAAAGGCAGTGGCTCCCGAAGTCCAAGATGGCGCCCCTGGGCATCGATGAGACCATTGACAAGCTGAAGATGATGGAGGGCAGGAACTCCAGCATCCGTAAGGCCGTGCGCGTGGCCTTCGACCGTGCCATGAACCACCTGAGCCGCGTGCATGGGGAGCCGGCCAGTGACCTCAGCGACATCGACTGAGGCGGCCGGCAGGGCGCGGGCTGTCCATAGTGTGGATACGCTGTACATGTCTGTATATTGTCCAGAACTTAACTTATTCTGATTCACAGTCGTCGTCCTTGGGTTCTGTTTCCCCAGGAGGGGAGGCTTCGTTCCGCGTTTTCTGCGAAGCCACTGGTCCTGGTGCCCTCCTCCTGACCTGTAGCTTTTCTTAAAAGACTTTTGAATGTTTAATAATTTTGTAAATCATACTCTTTACGCAGAGTACCACTTATTTAATAAGACGGGATGTAAATTTACAGTGACAAATGTGTATTTTAAGAGAGAAAATGACATTATTTTGAATGGTACTTTGTGCAGAGAGCAGGAGAATCCCTTTATGCTGTGCGCCCCCCTCGCAGACCACCAAAAGCACTCCGCGGGCCGCAGCGCGGCGCCGGCTCCGCAGACGCGCCTCCAGCGGGTTATTTATTGTAGAAAGTATATTCATTTGCTTTATAAAGAAGAATAAATTTGCAAAGGTATATTGATACGCATTTTTATACAGGCACAAACAGCTCGCCTCGGCTGGGAGCAGGGTGTGTGACGTGGTTCTGTAAGTGGCTGGCCTGTGTGTACTTTGATTTTGTAACTTGTAATCTTTTGTTTACAATGCGGGGCTTTCTGTAATTTGTTTTAATTTAGAATTTTGGTAGTAATAGACCTTTGGATACATTTTTGTATGGTACATGTGATGTATATAGAATTAGTACTTTATTTTTATTTTTAAGAGGTAAAGCATTATGTTAGGGGGTAAAAGTAGGGTGGGTTTCCAAATTTGCATTTTTTATATTCAGAATAAAGTCACTATTTGGACAGTGTCGCCCTTTCCTTCCTACGTCACCAGGAGGCTGGGTGTGCAAGAAGCCTGGGCAGCAGGGTGCAGGCACCTAGGGTGCGCCGCCCCCTCGGGGTGCCCTGACCTCGAGACCTGACGGACAGAAGTGCTCATTGCTGTGCCTGATTGTGTTTTCATCTCATGCTTTGAACAGCGCTCTGTCTGCACTGCAGTGTCCCCAGAGGAAGTTGTAATAAAGCCTTCTTTTGGAGCTGTAAGGTGCGTGCTTGGCGGACTCCTGCTGCAGTGGGCCCTCTCCTCGGTGCATGGGCTGCTCACGTTCCGCCTCTAGACCAAGCACACCAGGAGCCGGACACCAGGCTGTGGGCCTCTGCTTGCAGCAGAGCTGCAGTGCCCTGGCCCGGTGTGGAGTGAGGAGTCCGGCTACAGGGAGTAGGGCAATCACTTGGGCAGCTGGCCTGGGTTGGAGCCTCTGCTGGCAGAGGCTGCTGGTTCCACACAGCCCCACTACAGATCCCCACCTGGGTGCCTGGCTGCCCCTGTGCCCTGTGCCTCCCATGCTGTTATCCCCACATGCCCCAGGACCCGTGGCAGTGTTGCAGCTTGACCTGGCCGGCAGACCCTCAGCCCTGGGGCTGGGTTCCAGGGCATCCACTCCAGGTGAGCTGGGTGTCTGATAGGGTGTGGTGGCCATCTGGGCTGCAAGGAGTGTGGCCTGTCCAGTGTGGCCTGCCTGTCCAGAGCAGGGGGCACTGTGTGGCAAGGGGCCTCCTAGGAGAGGGTAGGGTCTAGTGGTCACTTTGCTTGGGATGCTGGGCTCTGGCCTGTTTCCTCCTTGCTTGGGATGGTTTGAGAGGGTGGGTTCATGGTGCCACAGATTTCAGACATGGTGCAGCTGCAGCACTGGGGTGGGCAGCTGGGCCTTTGTCGCTATCTTAGTTACTTTCTACTCGTCGCTGAAATAAAATACCTGATGACCCAAGTTGGGAAAGGAAAGGTTTATTTCTAGTTTTTGGAGGTTTCAGACCATACTCAGTTGGCTCCAAGGCAGGGTGGCATGGCAGGACCATAGTTCATGGCAGTTGCAAACAGCAAGGCAGAAACCAGCAAGTGAGCGAGACATACCTTCCTGCCATTACTTTATATTCTGGCTCCACCCTAGGCCAGTGTAATGCTCACACCCCCAATCCAAGCTCTCTTGACAATGAACCCGTTACAAATGCATAATGCAAATGCATGAGTCCTGGGGGCCACTGACAAACCATGACATGGGCTGTCAACCCACTACCACTCCTCTCCCAGCTTGTCAGGGCTGCGGGGTTACCGCCAGTCTCAGATGCCTGGGGACACTGAGGCTCCAGAGACGGGCCGTGCCTGAGCTCATGCAGAGGGCTCAGTGCCAGGTCAGTGCCCTGACGTCCATCCTGAGGCGCAGCTCGGCCGCTGGGTGAGGGAATGACCGGAGTGGGCCAGGCCGCGGAGCAGGCTGAAGGCGGTGCAGGGCTGCTGGGCAGCAGCCAGCCATGGGCGCCTCTGGGGAGCAGGCAGCTCTGCGCCTGTGGTGCTGGGTCCACACAGTGTAGCAGCGGAGTGACAGGAAGTGACTGGAGTGCATGGAGATTATGGGAGATG